TTATTTTAAAGTTTGTCTTCTATTTTAAATTTACTGCTCATTAATTTTTAAATGTCTTCTTCTTTCAAAATCATAAACGCATGTGTGTCTTTCTCATCACTTACGCCGTAATTGGTCGAATAATCAGCCTTTAATCACATTTTCTAGGCATGGCAAAAAATTAATTACGTGTCAAGGTGAACTCCATGATTAGGAACCCATCAGCTGTGAAGTAGATGCATTTACGAATGAATTTTCCTATAATTTTATATCATCATCAAAAGAAGATGTGTAAAAACATGCGAATCACGTATTTCTTGGATCCACGGAAAGTATCGTGGCAAAGACGTATTTTGGTAGAGTTCCTTCATAAAAGTAATATTCTTTATTATTATAAATCTGAAGTGATCAAGTAACATGAAATAATTGATGATAATCAAAGGTCCAAAAAGGCTTCAGCGGAGAAAAGTTTGTAGTAGCAACAGAGCTCCTTAAGAAAGAGTTCAAGCAGGGAAGTACTGCCACCTTACTTATTTTTGCCGCCAATCAATAACGCATTACGCAGAGCTTTAAATCGCAAAGATCATGAGGGGCCCGTAACCTTACAATATAAGTTTACAAGTCCCATGTGCCTGTACATTCACCAGCACCCTTAACCCTTACTGGTTCGTTTTTTCAAACAAGCCAACGTTTCAGGCCTTTCTAGGTCCAATGATCATGACTGACTGCGATGGTAAAGTCATCAACCAGTTGTGATTTAGATCTGAAATAGTACATTGTGTATTAAGGGCTGTAAATAAGGAATTGCGAACGAGACTCTTTTAGAAGCCCAAAGTCGAAGACTAAGTAAGGGCTTTCGGAGATGAGGTTCGTAATTCACGTACCGCTCGTGAAACGTACAATGTTTTTCATCACACTTGCACGTAAATAATATGATTGCATGCAAATTAAGTTGACTAAAATGATCCAAATAAAACCCTCGGCCTTTTTCCTTCTCGTTACCGACCATGGTTGTAATGAGCAGAAAAAAGCCTCAGAGTCTTATTTGTGGCATTACAGTCAAGTTAGCCTGCATGCAATCATATTATTAACGTGCAAGTGTCAAGAAAAAATAATTTTAATGTATGACAATCGCGAAAACCTAACTAAATCGTATTTAGTAATGTATACCTTAACTCGTTTAAATCGAAATAAATAACCCACACTCACTCGGTACTAAAAGACAATGTTTATGTGAGTTTTTACGTAAATCAGCCACTAAACGAGTAAAAAAAATTTTATTCCATTCGTTTGCTCTGGTTTAGTTCCCAATGTATTGAGGTAAAGTGGCAATACTGCAAGCTTGATTGGCTGCGGGGCCAATGTTAGTCGTTGTAATCAAATAATAAGTCGTGTTTCTCGATGTACCACTTTTTTCTTGTTAGTTATTCTGTACACACTTGGGTAATGCTGTAAGGCATTGTAATTTTGGTATCACGGAAACAGCAGAATTCGCTGAGTTTGGAAAGACAGCATTTGCAAGGACAAAACATGATCTAGGTATTTTTTTATTGTTAAGTCACGCAAGACTTCCAATACTATAGAGCGGAGGCACTCGAATCTTTATTTTATAAGATACTAAGTGACACACGTGTAGGTACTTCAGTACTTCCCTGGAGGAACTCTTTCACAAGGAGCTCTATTGCTATTTAAATATTTAGGGAACAGACTATAATATAATATAATATAATATAATATAATATAATATAATATAATA